GGGACTTGCATTTTGGGTCGGGGAGGGACTTGAATTTTGGGTCGGGGAGGGACTTGCATTTTGGGTTGGGGAGGAACTTGTAATTTGGGTTGGGGGGGGACTTGTACTTTGATATGGGAGGGACAAACTTGTGATGGGAAGGACTTTGTGGTTGGGCTCTAAATTGTAACATTTTGGACTTATTTTCCTTTAACTTGTGTTTTGACTTGTATTTTGTCTTTGTTATTTATATTTAGAAATAAAGTTTGACTTAGAAAACTTTTTTCTGTGTCTTTAATGTATTCCATCTCTATAGGGTACACGCCCATTTGACTTTAAAAAAAATATGCCTCCCCGAGGCCCCACCAGCACCAAGTCTCTTGCCACCCCAGCAGGCCAAATCTTTTGGTAGTCTTGCTGCCCTGACTAGAGCCAAGTTATAAGGCCAAGACCAGCAAACTTTAGACTGCCCTGATACTGGACACTGACTGTATGGATGTCAGACCTCCGCCCACTGCAGACTCCAGGGGGGAGCTCTGTTGTCACCCAAGCCAGCATAAAAAGTGAGGGTCAGTGCAAATGTGAGTCTCGGGTGACCCCACCCCAACACCTACTGAATATGCATGACAGTGATGCAATTTGTGATCAATAGGCTCATCACTTAGCAACATTCAGACAACTCCACAATAAGTTATGATTATCAAATCTGACTGGAAGACAAAAAGTATATTTCTAGGATAATAAAGTGAGTTAAATGTGAAGGTCTAATCCGATAAGGCCAACTACCACCATGCAATTTAATTGTGAAAATCTGTTTTAAATTAACTTTGCCACCATGTTGAATTAATTAGGCTGGAAGCCATTTTGAATTTACGAGTTAAACAGCCATTTTGAATTGATTACCCTGAAGCCATTTTGAATTGATTAACTGGAAGCCATTTTGAATTGATCAGCCTAGAAGCCATTTTGAATTGATTAATGGAGAAGCCATTTTGAATTGATTAGCCTAGAAGCCATTTTGAATTGATTAATGCAGAAGCCATTTTGAATTGATTGACTAACCTCTTATACTGAATAAGTTTAAAGTTTATGTCAATGCGAAAATGGTGGCAAATGTACTAAAATATGTTTATATTTTAATAATGTTTAACCTAAGATAATTTTTTCACCAGCAAAGAAACTTTCGACAAGTAAAAGGTCCGTTGTACTCAAGAGAAGCATTGCATATTTGGTAGTGAATTTTTCTTTTTACTTCCCAAATATAGCAGCATTATTGACAAAATTGTGTATAAAATTATAATATAATGTTCTAGATGCAGTCGTATCRCGTTTCTCATAGCAAACGAAAACTGTTTGTCAGTCTTTCAATGTAGCTTTTGTTTCTTGTATAACTTCAAAATTTGTTCTCAATGAGGTACAGTGTTTTCACTTTTGACCTCTTGTTATATGATAAGTATTTTGAGGTTTGATGTTTTAATACCCTTCTAATCTTGGGTCACCTTTCACCTCCATGATATTCATGTACTAATTTCTTATTTCAAAATTGACTGACATCTTCAATAATTTAGTTCATAATATGAAAATTCTTAAATCTTAAATCCTTTTTACAGCTTATTGAGATAAGTATAAACTGGTCCATTTTACTAAACTTAAATTTTGTTTTAAATATTACTATAAAAATGACAAAAAGATTTTTTGAAGACCTCAGACCCCAGGTTTAAGTTGTCATAGCTTGTATTAATTCTTTGAATAATCGCAAATTATATGTGGAATCATTAATATTTTTATCCGATAATGACTCATATATTATGGTGAACCAATTTTTCAACAAAYGCTGTTCTGCGATTTCACAGTGTAATATCATCGGACTAATAGAGTATTCTAAGTTTGCCTTTTTTATTTGATAATTTGACAAGGTGACAGTTTCATAATTTCTTGTTTTTCTTTTTCAGTGATACTTTCAAACATTTTGCACTGTTTTTCTCATAAAGGAGTGTTGTTTATATCTTTGTTTGCAGTTTACTTTTCCAGGTTAAATTTAAAGGTTTAAGGATCTGAGGTCTTCACTTTGCTGGTGAAAAAACWTCAATTAAATTACAATCTGTGGTAGAGGYCATTTTATCAGTCGCCAACAACATTTCAACCCACAATATTATCCCAGAAAAAATGATTTTTAGTCTTCCATGTCAGATCGATAATCACTTAGTTTGGAGAAGTCTGAATGAAGCATCACTTCAAGCTTACTGATCACCCAATACATCGCCGACATGCACATTCAGTGGGTGGTGGGGTGGGATTACCCAAGACTCACATTTGCACTGACCCTCACCTTATTTTCTGACTTGAGTGACAGCAGAGTTCCTCCCTGGAGTCTGCAGTGGGTGGAGGTCTGACATCCATACAGTCAGTCTCCAGTATCAGGGCAGYCTAAAGTTTGCTGGTCTTGGCCTTATAACTTGGCTCTAGTCAGGGCAGCGAGACTATYGTTAAGATTTTCTGGCCTGCATGTGGGGTGGCTTCTCTTTTGGTGCTGGCAGGGCCTCGTGGGAGGCATGAAGTTTATTGACTTTTGCAAACAAGAGCAKTAGATACAAGAGAGTGTCCTGAGAATCACTTCAAAATCTTTGAGGATGCTATTAACCTGTACTCTCTGAAAGCACTTCTTGAAGCTTGGACAATATATTGAAATTGACAAGGCATTAAAAAATCCATAACCCTATAAAAACATCTATAGACGGACACTCTCTTGTATCTACTGCTCTGGGCTGGGGAACTGACCAAAGACCTTTTTCTTTACTTTACTATAGGTCTTAAAATTGTCTACTCTAGCAGCAAAACAAAGGCTTGTCATAAGCCAGAAACTTATTCTATAAAAAGTAGTCAGCTCCCCAGCCAAAAAAAAATCTAAGTTTTTGTTTTTTGGAGTGCAGTCTTATTGAAACCTAGAATGATAACTGCACTCCATTTCTCTCATTTTTTCTTTCCGCTCTTTTTTCTCTCCTCTCTTGTTCATTTTCTTTGGTATTGTAATTTAGCATCCTTCAGAGCTTCCAGGAAGGTTTTTCGGTTTGGCAGACTATGGTATCTGGAAGAAACAAAATTGATTTGAGTTTATATTTCAACAACAGCAACAAAGGAGTAAAAATTGAAGATTTTTATTGTTAGCACTGATGCACTTTATCTAATAATAATTATAATAATTCATTTGTTTTCTACTGTCTAATCAACGCTATTTAGTACAGGGTTCGTGCTACTTCTTAAAGTCCTTGAAAAGTCCTGGAATTGAAAACATGTTTTCAAGGGCGCTTGAAAGCCCTTGAAAATGGGGAAAATTGCTGAAACTCCTGGAAAACTCCTTTAATCTGATATAATTGACATGTTGATTGTTAACTTTTGGATTGAAATGTGGCTATTTAAAAAAATCGCCACTTAAAATGTCTGCAAACATCAAAAAATATCTTCAAAAACACTCCTTGAAAATCGCATTTTTATGCTTAAAAAGCACTTGAAAAGTCCTGGAATTTAGTAGTGAAAATGTAGCACGAACCTTGTTAGTAGTAATAGCCGATTTGTATTATTGCGTCTTACTACAACTACCAGAATGCTTTACCAACTTTCTTTTGTAGTGCAATTAGTGCTAATTGTTTTATCAATCTCCAAGGGGATTAAAAATCTGAATAACAATGAAAATGCGCAAGGCTCTCTGGTAGTTGTAGTAGTAAAGTTACGCCATAATGCATATGGCCTATTAGTGTTATCAGATGTTGTGTTTATACTTACAGGTCTGCCACTTGGTTAATGGCCGTAGCTTGACATAGTGTTATAGTGAGACTAACATCTCACATCAATGGTATCATGATTGCTGTCAAGCTGTAAAAGAAATGATGAATAAGTTATTTACTAGATGATAGTTTGGAATAAGCAGTCTCTTTAAAAATTATGTTTGAAATGCAGCCTTTTTTATGCATGTGAAAACTAGTTACAAAATGTCTGCATAGACACTGGTGAAAAACGCAAGTGCACATGTCCATAGCTTTCCCGCTGAAATCTGCCAGCCCTAATTTCCTTTGTAAAGTGATTTTTGTGATAGTTTTTTACAATTTATAAGCTCGTTTACCGATATATAAGATTCATATTTCCATCAATCATTGTTCATGATAGGTCCTTTTAGTATGTAGTTTCTATTTTTATCTTGTCATTTCTATTTTGAAAAAATGAGGTTTTCCGTAGTGTTTTCTGTGTTGTCGCTGTAAATCCTTAGGTGCTCTGTTTACAGATTTTAAGATGCGAGCGCCCACTGGTGGGAAAGCTGTGGGCATGCACAGTGTGTTTTTCACCAGTGTTGTCTCAATATTTTCCAACTTTTTGGAAGTGTGAAGTAATATTTTCATCAATTCACTTCAATAACACCCATAATAATATGTTTTTGATGGCTCTCAAAATTCTGGAAATCATATTTCCAAGGCACAAAATTTCAAAAATTCCTGGGGGTCCCTTAAAAGGACATTGTCAATGGCACGCATGCGCTAGTAAACTTGAAAACATTAGGCTAACGTTTTCAAGTTTATGACTCCAAGTTGGTGCGACATAAATCAGCTCGTAAACGTTAACAGATCTGGAATATTCCAAAGTGTGTCAAAAGCACCACAAAATGATTTACCTCAAAGGTAATACTTTCAAAGTCCATTAGAGGTGAGACTGTTACTGCGCATGTCATCCATTGACAGTGTCCCTTTAACCCCCTCCCAAACTGAAATGTACTTTGTGGTCCCTCTACAGTAACTATTGTACAATGACTTATATTAAAGTACATTCATAACAAATAATACATACCTGAATATCATTGGAAAAGTTCCCTTGGCTGACTGTAGTATTCACATCATACTGTGGTATGTCATGGTCAGCCATTATTAACATGGTTTTACTGTACATATCAGTAGTGCATATGGAAGGTTGTGCTGTATTCTTTGTACAATTGCATGTCTAGCACACAATATTATGTACATGTATACTTCTTGCAAGCCTGTATTATAAAAATAAATGAAACGTTATAATAATTGTTTTGTGTATAACATATAGGTTATCAGATACATTTTTTATAAAAGAGCAGAAAATTAACGGAAATAAATGTTGGTACCTTCCATTTAAAAGTCATGTATCAAAAATACTGAAACTTTCATATTAGGAACTCAACAGGATTA